TAGCCTAAGATACACTAGTGTTCATAGTATGAATCTCCAGAACACCTCAAGCAAGAAGGTTGATTGCAGAACCCTTTTATTTCGAATAACGAGTACGAATCCAGCGGATTTAGTTTAGAAACCTGAAAGTTTTCTGCATTTATTAATATACCGGCTGCGCAATAATTAGATTTAAACTTCGGGAAACGTTCTGCTTTATCTCCACACATTTTCATACTTTTTCACATACTTTGTTTCTTTTTGTCGGTGAGACGTGCTTCTGTTTTCACCCTAACTCTTTAATCGGTATATCTGCGGTCTCTGGAGGAGAACTCGATAACTGCATGCGTATAGCTTTGTATCCTCCCAGAAAATATTTAAAGATAAAGACAAAGCAACGAGCCCGTGGTGCAGTGGTAGAATGGTAAACTCAAAGACCAAAGGTTTCGGATCCGAATCTCAGGGATTCTCACCTTTGAGATTGGACATGACTGGCTGATACGACAACAAGTCAGAAATGGTCATTTCGGCCTCCCTTTGCTTTGCCGGATCCATTTCGACGACCAATGTATCTAACAAAAAAGCTGAAAGAACCTCCAGTCAGTTGGCTGACATTTCAGATAAAGGAGGTCTTTTTACTTCTCCTTAGGTAAGGTGATTCACTTTTTGGATTGCTGCCCCCCCCGCGAAGAAGCAACAGTCCGGGTTTGAGGATAGGAAGAGCACGTATATTTCTTCTGTAAACTCGACTATTCTACGCTTGCAATTTGCTGAAGTACTGTTTTCGGGCTCTGTCTACCCACCTCTCCACTCTTTGATACAGTTTCTCGGTAAAGGAAGCCAACTTCTGGAGCATGTACGCGTGCATGCGTTTCTCCAGCCGGCTTTTAATCGCGTTGTTCACCACACTGAGGCGAACTGCGACACCCACCATTCGACGGAAGAAGCCTTTCCCCTTCACTCGCACTCCCGTCCATTGCAGGAAACGGAACCCTTCTAACTCTATTTGCAGCTGGGCCAGCTTGACTGGGTCGGTATGGTTGGCTGTCTCGGGGATCAGGTCTATTGCAAGGTTGGCCCTGGACAGTTCGAAGGGTGAGCAGACTCGTAGGGCAACCTCCACCTCAAAGGGCAGGATGAGAAAGCGCACTGGATCGAACTGCGCAGAAGGGAAAAGAAACAGTCTGCAAGAGTGGGCAATGATTTCTTGTAGGTAACAGAAAAAGCCCGGGTTTCTGTCTTACGGGATCGATGCTACAAGGGTTTTTATGGGTGAGGGCATATCAGGAGTAGGAAAGAGGTATTAAAAAGGAGAGCGTATAAAAGTAGAAAATAATAGGATTGGTTATTTAAATGACCAAATATTTGACAACAAAAAAGTGCGATAAATAAAATGAAAAATAAAACCAATAAGAAACAAGAACTCCGCAAATTGCGCAGTTCTGCATTTTGCGGAACCGCGTAATAGAATGTGAATGTTCGAGATTAAAATAGAATTATGAAAAGTAGGTTTTCCCATTTTAAGCCGAAAAAGCGACCGCCTATTGCTACTTAAACTAAATTAACTAAACTTAGGTGACCTTAAGTAAACCAAGCTAATTAACTAAAAATAAATCCAAACTACAGTAAAACTAAATAATAAACTAAACTAGACGCAAACAAAAAAAGCAAACTAAATGTAACGCAATAAACTAACAACGAAACTGAAACTAAAAAAGCTTAAAGTAACTGAACTACACTAAAGCTGTCCATGGGAGTGGAGGGGGAAGGCATGAATAGAAAAAGCGGTAAAAAAATAATGCATGAAAAGCAATGTAATCCACAATTAAACGAAATAATAAAAAACAAGTTTACTATAACGAAATAAGTAGGTAGTCGTATGTAGTGAACTACATAGACTTAAATATAAGAAATCTTTACCAAAAAGTGTTTAGAATGTCTACTTTCAACAGATTTTTAGGCACATAGTACATACTTTAGGAATAAATGGTCTTTTTACAAGTAGATAGCGAATGTAAACTCAGCTTCTACTGAAATAGGCTTGTTACTCGATGTAACAAAAAGAATAATCAGTGGGAATTTATTTTTTCTAGAATAGAGGAAGATCTATCAGGCAGACAGATGCCACACTCAAAGTTCTTACGGGAAAACCCTTCGGTTAATTTAGTCGTGAGCATAATTTAAAAAAAACTTTCTGTACAGATTTATGGCCTGTTATTTCACCTAATAAATTGAAGTCATTGTTTCGGCTGGAGGATAAGTTGAATCCCAACAGAGATTTTGAACGAGATTATAATTAGTGATTCCGAAATAAATACCATTTTCCCCAGTAATATTTTAGACCCAATTTTATAATTTAAGATGACTGTATGATTACGTAGGAAATTGACCCTCGTTGATGAAAGCTAACTGACAACTAGGGGAACTCACTTGGCCCGCTCTGCCCTGGGTCTTATTTCTCGGGCGGTAGCAGCAGCCGTAATGGATAGCAGTCTTAGACAGGTAGTATTACCGGCAAAGACAAGGGAGAAACAGAAATTTAAGTAGTGCACCTCAGATGCCCCTAGTCCCAGCATTTTGTCCTAGAGAAATGGTGGTTATAGGGGTTTTATGGGTGGGGAAATAGGAAGTAAGTCTGTTTTGTTTTGCTATTTCATATAATCATGGATTGCAGTTCTTTTCATAAATTATGTTTCTGCGGCTTTTCTTGTGCACGTAGGCCCCCACACGGAAATCTTTATCATCCTTCGGTTACTATTAATTTTATTGTAGTTTATATTTGTTTTGGTCTAGTTAGCTTACTTTACTTTATTTTACCTAAGTTTAATTGGTTTAGTTTAAGTAGCAACAAGGGGAACTGGAATGACCATTTCGGGCTTACTAGCCGACGCCAGTCAATCATACCCAGCCCCATCAACCTAGTTCATCAACGAGTGTCAATACCTCCGGGCCAAAACTCAGAAAACAACGAGTTCGTAGCAGCTTAATGGTTAGAGCCTTAGACTCTGTGCACCACTCGGGGCGTGTTATGACTGACTGACGAAGGCTAGTAAGTCAGAAATGGTCATTCCAGTCTCCCTTGGCTTTACTGACAATACTATCTGAAAGAAGCCGGTGGCTTTCAATGCCCACCAGGGTGGGGGTTAACCAACCAACTTTATGGCGAGGCACCCAGGATTCGGCAAGTTCGAGACCCTCGTCTCGTATGTTTGCACTATTAACCACTAGCGTTATGGCTGTCTCACGCCAAATCGGTCAATCTCTACACTGATCCGACTATGGCTTAAAGAGATTTGCTTAGAAAGTAGTAAACTTCACAGTATAATCAGCCGCGCTGTGTGACCCCCTGAACTGCCAAATTTTAGCTGAAAACGAGACCACTGTGAGGAAAATGTCTAGTTAACTATCTGTGAATAGCTCATTCGGAAATAGGTTTTTTTTTATCAGTGTTCGCAGTCAGACGCTGCATGCAGATACCTGTATAAGGCTAAGGTTTAAAACCAATTGCTTCCTTTTCAAACAATCAATATTACTCGTTGGAATATCAGGCACCGCAGTAATAAGGCACTGAGATATCTTCTTCTGCCATGCAATTTGGAAAGGCCATTTTCACGAACGCTTCTTGCAGTTTTCTATAGGAATTTTTCTCTAGCTATGAAGCAAGCAAAAGAGCAGAAATTTGGTACCGAACACCATGTCTGTTTTTGAACTTGGCTGACGAAGCAAGGAGACCAAGGAGACCGAGTGCAAAATAAATTTTTTGAGACGAACAAATTGCTGAAAATGTTAACATAGATTCTTAAAAGATACTTTTAAGCTTGCAAAGGAGTTAATATCATCTTGCATTGGAATATTTTAGGAGAGTGAGGAAAGGAATACATAGACGATAATGACGATGACACGCAAACTCATGAAGCGTTCCATATGTTTAGGACAATAAACCTCTTGTTCCAGTGATCGCTTCTCCTTCTTCTTTTTCTGATTAGTATTATTGTTATTGGGGACGAAAAGGTAGATTTTATGCACACTTCCTGAAGAACAACGAAACTGAATCATAAGAGTCGTTCACCTTGACTGCTGAGGGGCCGTAATAAATAATTTGTTGACACGCCTATAAGATGCGATGTGAAATGAAGTTTTATTACCAAAGTGATCTGCAAGTTAGCATTGCAGACTGGTCATTTGTCTGCGACTGGCTTCACTCTTTATACCTATGCTTCAGCAAGTTATTATGATTTCTTATTTGGTTGAAGCTGAGATGAGGATATACCCCGGCTGCAGCGAAACCATCAACATTGGGCCTTCCTGCGTGTGCGTGATAGTAAACCACAACAACTACTTAAACGCATTCAGTAGCATTTATTAAAACAGTTAAATTGCAAATGGAGGAAAAACCTACCTTGCCCAGCCTACCCATGAAGCTAATACGCGACTTGCCAGCTACGACGATTTCCTGAAAACCGACCGAGAAGTTGGCTCGGAAACAGGGCGTGATTCCACTTTCCGTCTTCACAAAGTCACTGAGTTTGACGTCTGGGGAGATCCGCATGCTGCTGAGATTGTAGACTTTTGCGTCTTGCACATCCCAAGGTCCAACAGTCATGGGGTTTTTAATCACATAGTGGTCTCGACCCTTCAGAAATTGGATCATCCCATAGCGCATCAGTATTCCCACTAAGCTGCTACACTCATTGCTCCTTGCTATGGGGACTAGAGTGAGAACGGCCACGAAGAGTAGGAATGAATTCTCCGATGTGGCTGAAAGAAGAGGGAGCCCAAAGAGTACAATAAGTGATGCGAGTCATGAAAAGTCATGGCGAAAACTTGAATCAGTACTCTGACGTACATGGAGTGCTGCAGTTTGTGTTCATAAAATCAACCAGAATTGATCACATTCGACGAGAAATTTCCTCCGAATACGAACAAACTCTAAGCATTTCTCCACTACTAAAGTAATATAGAGGCCAATTCCGTAACGGGGTCTAAGAAAGCTAATTAGGTATTATACCGACCCACTTAAAAATTTAAGTAGTTTGAATTTTCCATAATCTTCTAATTTTTGGCACGTCGGCCGTTGGTGCAGTAGGGATTGGATGATGACATTGAACTGCGGTGGGGTCCTCGGAAGGCCACCATTCACAATAGCAGCTCAAGTCAGAATATTAAGTAAAATGGCTTTTCAAATTAACCATGGGGATAACCACTTACTTACAAATTGGAAGTAGGGTGGAGCCACACAATCTACCAACTTCTACACTCATTCGCCATTATTCTACTTGAGGTAAGCGATACTACCACAAAATGTATCTCAATGGCCTCGACCGTAGTCAGTGGACACCCCACCCCCCACCCCCGACATACAGGCGCTCGTCGTTGGTGCAGTAGGGGCTAGCGATGATATTAAATGTAATTCAGTGCCCTCGCCCGAGGTTAGGGCACATCCTCCAACTTACGCTCCTAATTTTTTTCTTTTGCAGAATTATTGCTAACTGATTTGTTCCCTGAAATACCCTGACTATCCGACCCCCTAAAACCAGGTGTCCGTAAGACCGAGGGCTGCGCTTCGCGCCGCACTTAGGCGGCTCCACGACATACTCCCACCGCCAAAATGCTATTCTACTTTTGGTTGCGTCAAGTTATTTTAACATAGATTAATTAAAACGGAAGCGCTTAAATTTGTATTGTTTCCCTCACTTTATCTTGTCGTTTTTCATTTTCCAAGTCCTTGCCTCGTCGGAATTGCTTATATACCCACTGCCACAACAAACAGGAAAAATAGTTAACACCATTTCATAATCCGGTGACAGTCTCCTTTCGGGCTCACTACGCTTACTTTGCATAACTGCGTACTTATTTCGTAGCAGTAAGCATGTCTTCTCACCAGAAAGGCACGACAGAGCCCATCCAAATTGCATTTCCCACACGGAAATCTTCAGCGTCCTGCGGTCACTTTTAGTTTAATTAGTTTTAGGTTAGTTCAGTTTTTCATTTAGTTTTATTCTAGTTTTACTTTTTGGCTTATCCTACTAGATTATCGGTCTTAATGCGTTAGAAGTTATTGTGTTTTAAAAAACTGGGAAAACTCTATTTTTCATGATATTTCTGTAATCTTCATAATTCGATATAGAATCGATATTCGGTCGTATCCAACTCGGGACTACTATTGCGCAGTTCCTGTTTCCTATTGACTGAGTTTCTCCACTTAATTATCGCGCGCCAAACATTAGGTTATTCGAATATTTATTCCTATAATTTTCTACTTTCATACGCTCTAATTTTAAAATTATGTTTTCTTTCCCCCCATATGCTCCACCCATTTAACCTCTTTTACCACCGGTTCCATATTATAGAATCCCGGGGTTATTGCTTGCTATAGTGAGCCAGAAACGAGGCTGGTTCTCATAGTGCCAATACTAAACCCAACCCCACTCCCACCCTTGAGCCTAGCCTTAACTTTAGGTCTAGCACTAGCCCTAACGCCAATCTTTACCCTGACCCCAAGTTCCCCCCTTCCTCAACGTACAGAACTGATTGTCTGAGGGAACCACCCACCACTTTTATACTTTCCATTCGTATAGGACCTTGCTGTAAGGCCTGAGGACAATTGACGAAAATACAGGTTTCCTGGACAGTCGCTAGATGACCATCTGTATGTTCAGTCATGTGAGCGCAAGTAGCTTCAATGCAGAGATTGCTTAGTTTAAAAACACAGGGCCGGCAACAATAATGTTCGTCTACCAACTTAGATACGCCTAGCCCCAGAATTCTGTCTTACAGGACTGGTGGTATTATAACAATATAGTTTTTGGCTAATTATTTAGTTTATTTGTTTAACTTTAGTTTTAGTGAAGTCTAGTTTTTAGTTTAGTTGGTTTTGTTAAGTTTAGCTTAGTTTAGTATATGGTAGTTATTTTAGCGTACTAATCTAACTTTGGTGGTATTTAATTAACTAACTTACCTATTCCTCACTTTACGGAACTGAGTGTCTGAGGGAACTACCCACCACTTTTGCATTCGTATACTAGCTTGCTGTAAGGCCTAATGAGAATTGAAGAGAGGCCGTGTTTCCTCGAAGGTCGCTCAGTCATATGAGCGCAAATGCCTTTTACTGGTAGACTCAATGCAGGGACTGCATAATTTAGAACACAGGGTTCGGTAACAATAAAGCTGCTCTACCACATTAGATAGTTCGAGCACCAGAATTTATTCTTACAGGACCGATGATATTATAAGGGTTTAGTTTATAGTTTATTATTCCGTTTATTGCTTTTAACCTAGGTTTAATGTAGTTCAGTTTTGGTTTAGTTAGTTTTGTTGGCAACAGTAGCTAATGCAGTGCACCTCATTAATCCCTAGTCCCAGCATTTTTTTTCCTACGAAAACAGTGGTTATAAGGGATTTATGGGCGGAGAACTAGGATACGCAGTGGAATATACCTTAATAACTGCTATATGCA